ATGGGATGGTTCCTATTGCCCATTTGACTGGGAGGCAAGTACTTATCACGACACCACTTTCCAACCATACAGCTCTCTTAAGCGAAAAGGCGTCAGCAAATCATAAGACGTGCTTCTGAATTCTCACCATGAAGAAACAAAATATATGATGGACCATGCACGATGCTCTCCAGGGTTTAAGGGTCTTCCAAAACACATGCACTTTGTCACGCCCATCAACAGAGATTCGCTTGATAGAAGAAACAAGAAACCACCAACCCCATAGCCAGTAGCAACATCAGAGTTGTAGACACAATATGTGACATTCGTACTCTCATCCTCATAAATCCTTCCCTGTCATGAAGAGAACGATGTCAACTGCCTGCCTTAATTTCATCCCAGGAAAACTAAAATGGGAAAAACACTTGCTTTAACCCAATGGAAATAGAAATTTGTTATGGACATTGAAACGGATCTCAAGAAATCCTATAAAGCCAAACTTGGCACAAAGTCTGACAAACACAACAGCTTGTTACAAAGAACCAATCCATCTAACAATTTGATAGCCAAACAAGTCATCTGCAACAGCAAAGACAGGCTTTGGAGCTTCAAAATTATCATAGAAGTAAAGCAACTAATAAAGCCATCATGGTCCTATGGGTACCAGAGCACTGGTTACCCTAGTAAAATGTTTAATTGATGGACTTGAAATTCGACTGAACTGCTGTTCCTTCTCATGACACCAACCATTGAACCCAGTATCATGCAAATTAGCATCCTCTGGGGCCTATAAATGACACTGAAAACCCCAGAAATGTCATTAAATATATATTTGAATTGTTAGCAGTGAACACCAATATTGTGTTGCAGCACCACAACAGCACACTGTAACCGGCAAAACTGAGACATTGAGACTAATAAAGATAATGGCATCTTAAGCATCTCTAATGTGGCAGCTCTAAAGCATCTGTCTGTGCGTTAGCTATGGCTATTGTGTGGCTCTGAAGCTGTTATACCAATGTTGAAGCGTCAAGAGCACACAGACGTACCAAAAGTTTGGCAACTACTTTCACCACAACCAATGTGGGGATCGAAGTCCCTTTGAAGGAGAGTTTGGCACGTACATTTCCATTAAAATCAATTTATGAGAATCGAAATATTGAAGTGTCGCTACTGTTAAAGTAGAAATTGAAGGTAGTCATGCTGTCTATGCCATTACTTTCGCACATTGCCCTAGCACTAGAAGTTCATGTCTGATAAACATATCACTTTTTGTAGGACAAAAACGCCATCATGTGTGCTGACAATTTCTCCACTTTGATGACTGTTCCATTTATTTGCGCTTTGCTCGGCCATAAAGGCACGGATCATGTGACAGGTACATAGCTCGAAAGCTACAGGCAGAGTACATGGATGACAGAAAGAGCTCAAAGTTTCCAGAGTACACTTCACAAGTAAATAGCTAAATCCCAGAGCTGCAAGCATAATTTAAGGATGGCTTCACACAATCTCCAACTTCTAATTAAAGCTCAACATTGTCTGCACCGAACCTGATATGCCAACTGAAAGAAACTGTTTTCGACTACCCCATCACCCGGTTCCACCACTCTTCCCATCTCGTACTAAAATTGCATGACAAACCCTTCCCGAAATTTCGAACATCCGAAACTTCAAATTTAGTGATGTTCAGTTAAACACGAGCCTAAGAACATTGAGCTAAATGTCAAGCACTAAAATGTTCAAATGGGGATGTCCCATCTGTTCACCAATCAGGAAAGCAGCCGAGCCTTGCCTAGACCGCTCACCACTTCTCCGTCAACGGCACGAAGTGCAGATGCTCAGCCCATCACTCCTACAACAGAAGATCGAATTCCTAGGATAGATATTCTAAAATCCCACGGCAACGTTGACAAGGAGCACTGACGGAAACGCATTCCAAGCAGCACGTAGACACACAGATCTTAACCATTACTGAGGCCTATAACCTATTCCGCACTCACCACCACTAGAGCGAGCTCAACCAAGCAACGAACAAACTCCACAGCTCGAAGATAAAAATCCCTGCTTTTTCCCCACAAACCACGCGGGCCAAACCACCCAAGAGACACTAACAGGCAAGCATTCAGCGCAAATCGCTACAGACCCTGCAATCACTAATGCAGAAAAAAGCCCGGGGGACGCAAAAAAAAAACTCAGCGGGGAAGTGGTGGGGGCTTACAGTGCTTCTTCTCCTCTCGGCAGCAATGGCAAACCCAAAGGCAACCAGGCTAAGAACTATCAGCAGAAGGTACACCAGAGAGGAGCCCCTCGCCTCCCCCATCTCTCTCTTGCTCTCTCTCCCTCTTGAAGTGAAGCGAGAGAAGCTCTGGTGTAGCAGGAAGTGAGAGAGTGAGCCAAGCTGAAGTTCAGATGCGGAGAAAGTGCGGAAGGTGTGAACTGTGGAAGAAAGGCCGAAGGGGAGAAAGAAGGTGGTATTCATTGGACTTACTACGTACGCAGAAGTGGGAAAAAAACAAGAAAGTAAAAGAGCAGCTTAAAAGGAGATTACGAATCACGCGAACCTATAGCGCGTCCTCCCCACGCGAGATCCCTGAGCACCGAACGAGGCGCGCGCTCCTTCGATGAAGAGCGTGCTCCCCACTTGTTCTCGCGGAGCGTGGACGGAGATCTTTTCCCCTCGAGGGTGAAAAGTATGGACAGTTGGGGGGGGGAGGCGGGGGGGATTCTGAGTGTGGGCTCCACATCACGCGACACATCACGAGGTGGTGATCTCGTGATAGAAGAATGGACGGTCGGGATGCGTCCCGACGTGGGGCCTCGATCTGGGGCGGCGATGTGAAGTGCACGGTAAGCGCGTGAGGTCGCCCGCTCACTGCAATCGCTCGATATCTGTAATAAATTTAATAATGGCCGACATAAATTCGAATTTTTTTGCGGAAAGTGGGAATCTCGACCTATAATAATTGCGGACGTAATTATTTTTCTCGTGGAAAATTGGTTTAGCGAGGATCGAGCGTCGCTCCATTTTAGTTCGTCCGAAACCCTTTCAAAACAAAATCATTTTGGTACTTGTTATTTATCAGTGCATCTTATCCGAAATTTAATTAATGAAAAACATTAACACCGATTTTAGAGTTCAGAAAGATTCAAGTGTTTTAAATCTTGAATTTACAGTGAATTATATATCACTAAGAACACGTCGTCATGTTTTTTTCAGGGAAAATTATTATGATGTTCCTACATTTCGTTATAAAAGACATCCCTAACAAATTTAGAAATAAATTCACAATTCACGGCCCTTTGTTGGTGTCTAAAAACTTGTTGACATTGCGCAAAGAAATAGTTTTTTTTTTAGGGTGTGCATGACAACGATTCTGTGCCCGGAAACTGATTCTGCTAATAAATTATTCTTTTTTATTCTGTGTCCGGGAACAATTTCTAAGCATTTGAAAGCGTTTGGTAACTGCCCAAAATTTCTATTCTTAGAATAGAAAAAGAACATAAATGCGTTTGGTAACTACACAAAATTTCTTTCTATTAATAATATTTTAAATTTTTTAATAATTTTTCTCTTTTTTCTTTTTTTTTTCCTTTCCTTGGTCATGGCCGGTAGCCGGCACCGGCGACCAGCCACAAGCCAGGGCCGGCGAGGGCATCGCGGCCCTTGCCGCCGCCCTCGCCATCGCCACCCCCGGCGACAACGAGGTCGGCCTCGTCGCCCCTGGCGACGTCAAGGCTCAACCTCGCCCAGATCTAGCGAGGCCACCCTCACCGGCGGCAGGTCGATGACAGATCGAGAAGAAGATGAAGAACAAATAAAAAAGGAAGAAGAAAATCAAGAAGAATCAGAAAATGGAAAAATTGTTCCAGAATCAATAAGCTACTTTTTTTAGCTTCTTGATTATGTTTCAAAACTGATTTTGGGAACAATTTTTTGTAAATTTGTGCCCGGGTACAAAAATTTTAACAAACGTATTTCTGTTCCCAAACCGATTCTGGGAACAAAAGAATAGAAATTTTCACTATTTGACAAATTACCAAATGCCCCCTAAATCTCTGAACAATTCTCACCGAGTAACGGGGTTAATGTATTTTGGAGGTATTTGAATCACTAGTAAAGTTGTGGAGGCCCACTAAACAATGGGTACTAAAACTGTGGGGGGGCCATTTAGCTTTAATGAGCATGTTGGCCGCCAATTCAATGATCAAGCTATTTGTAATTGGATTGAGATCCCTCTAAGTTGATGAAATAACTTTGAATCCTAAAGTTACTCCTTGAGAGATTTGACACATGAACATAACACTAGTTGGACGATCCAAATCAAACTCCCCTTATTTTTCTGTTCTTCTTTCTTCCCTCTCTCTCTAATTTTCATAGGAAAAAATGATTAAGTGACAATCCTTAATTTACCATGGATTAATAGCATGTTCTGGTCCATTCCTTCAAGAATTTGTGGCTCACAATACGCTAATACTGTCATGGTGGCCAAAAAACCGTTATGCTATGAAAACCCTTCACAAACTACTCTTTTCCATTTCAATTGCAGTGACACCCTTGTTGTTCAATCTCAGATCTGGGGTCGCGTGAGGCTGGACACGACCTCAACGTTAGGCACGTGGTCTATGTGTTTCCATCTAACGTAGTAGGTTGTGCGATTCTCTCCTCTATCTTCGTGGACAAAAGGGCCAGGAAAATCTGGGCTTCGGCCGATGGGCGAGGGACAATGGCAAAGATCGCAGGGAGGCAATCTCCAGCGCGAGGACCGGGGCGACAGTGCATCGAATCAACGATAGAGGATTTGGGACGGAGGAAGGCAAAGAGTAAATTTGCCTCCTCTAAATTTAGAGGATCATAATCCTTCGTGTTTTGCTTATAACCCCGCCTTGAATTCATAGAATTATTTCAAGTCCATATACAGAACGTGAAGCCTGTCTTCAACTTTGAGCAGTTAGTGTCTGTATGATCACAGAGATCCAAAATACGTATTGTTATACACACGTAACGAGGAGCTAATGGCATGGATAGTTCGTAACCTTTCATTGTTTAACTCGAGAAAAGATCAAAGAAAAGGGACTGGAGAAGACGAAGCGGGGAATTCCCAGTATTTCTTGATTAACGTTCGTAACTCCGACTGAAGATTCATGCTCAAACTAACCCCAATATGCTCAACCACTGAAAACTCTCTCAACCCTTTGGTTTCTCCAAATCCTTCAAGTTCCAGAGGTCGTCGTCCCACGCGACATCGCCGAAGAGCGCGTTGTAAGCTTCGTCGCCCATGAACTCCCCGTCCCAGAACGGCGACCAAACTGACCCGAACGACATCGCTTGTTCGTCCACCACCTCCCACGTCGTCCACCATGGCGGCCACTCCTCCCACCCCTCCATCTTCTCCGCCGCTGCCGCCGCCACCGCCGCACCTCCTCCTCCTCCCGCCACCCCTTCCCCTCTCGTTCCTGCCTTCTTGCCGCCCTCCTCCTCCTTGGCCTCCGTAGCCGCCGCGTCAGCTCCTGCAAATCCCTGAGCTCGAGCGCCTTCTTTGTCTGATGACGACGATCTAGCGGGCTTGTTGGGAGCTCCCGCGCCCTTCACTCTTCGCCTCTTCATGGTTCTTGATGATCGATATGCCGCAGCTGGTTTTTTTGGTTAAATACTTTGAGAGCAGAGACAAGAAAAACGAGAGATGTCTCCGTGAATGGTACGGCACGGTGAATGGGGGACATTGGTGGCTCTACTCATATTATAGCGAACCAAAGACGAAAGAGAGACCCTCGTTTTGGAACTCGAGACTGCGTGTGCGGTGCTGATGAACGGAGGAGATATCGTGATTTGTGAACGTCGGCAAATATTAACCATGCATGTCACGACAAAAGTTGGTGTTTCGAAAATTATGAATTTACTTCACTTTGGCGATTTGATGAAAGCCCCCCCTTTTTTTTGGAGGTCAGAAAACACTCTTTCATATTCTCATTCAAGTTAAAGTTTGCCGCGGCATACGGACTTCGGAACAAAGCAATTTCAAAAGATAAGTAGGGAGATAAGCGACTCAATTAACCAGTAAATATATATTGCGGTGGGCTTTGGAGATCCAATTTGCGACATGGTCACTTTCTTTTCGACAATGAGCCGTCTTTAAATTGCTAAATAACTTTGCATGGACCTAGGCTCTCGTGATCAATGCATAAGCTTCCCAACTCACTTGATATGCTCCATCGCTTATCATCTCTACCAGATCAAGTCGATCCGCCACCAACACAATCTTCAGTTCACTTTTTCGCTTCTAAGTGTTTTAGGGTTTCAAGCATAGCGGCTGCCTCTGCTTGGATCGTCGACGAGACTCTTACCGATCGGGCAAACCCATCTATCAAGACACCCTGGCTATCTCGACATACACGCACGATTGCCCTTTCCCCTGTTTCTGCAACAAAAGACCCATCGACGTTAATTTTAATCACCCCGGGGGAGGAGGGGTCCAGATTGGAGGTAATTCTTTGTGTGATTTCAGTTTTCCATTCGTTTTCTCTGACTATTTACTAAAGTTTTTCTCCGCGGCGATGACTGAGGTGACGATGTAATGGGGATTTAACTTTATGAGCTCTGAACATCAAGTCATTTCGAGATTTACAGATCTGCCATGATAATAAAGCAAGGAGCTCGAAGGATATGGAGGTACGTTTAAAGTTCAGCATCCATTCCTTTATCTGAGCCACCGAGTAACTATCAACTTTAATAATTTGAGAGCGCGTCCTCATCACGCGATATCCCCCCCGGCGCCGAACGAGACGTGCGCTCCTTCGATGAAGAGCGTGCTCCCCACTTGCTGTCGCGGAGCGTGGACGGAGATCTTTTCCCATCGAGGGTGAAAAATACGGACAGGTGGGGAGGGCTGGGGGATTCGGAGTGTGGGCTCCACATCACGAGGTGGTGTTCTCGTGATATAAGAATGGACGGTCCGGATGCGTCCCGACGAGGGGCCTCGATCTCGGGCGGGGATGTGAAGTGCACGGTAAGCGCGTGGGGTTGCCCGCTCGCTGCAATCACTCGATATCTGTAATAAATTTAATAATGGCCGACATAAATTCGAATTTTTTTTGCGGAAAGCGGGAATCTCGACCTAGAATAATCGCGGACGTAATTATTTTTCTCGTGGAAAATTAACTTGGCGAGGATCGAGCGCGGCTCCATTTTAGTTCGTCCCAAACCCTTACGAAGCAAAATCATTTTGGGTACTCGTTAATATATCGGTGCATCTTATCCGTGATTTAATTAATGAAAAACATTAACACCGATCGTGAATCCACGGTGAATTGTCGTCCCCAACAAATTTTGAAATAAATTCACAATTTCATAATCTTTGTCGTGTCTAAAAACTTGTTGACATTGCACACGGAAATAGTTTCCTTTTGGAGGAGTGCTGGTGTGGAATCTCTAAAAACTTCTTTTTTTTTTGTTTGGAGGTATTTGAATCGCTAGTGAAATTGTTGGAGGTCCAACTAAATAATGGGTACTAAAACTGTGGTGGGCACATATAAAGGCCCATTTTGGCTTTCAATGAGCATGTCGGCCGCCAATTCAATGACGGAGCTATTTGTAATTGGATTGCGATCCTCTAAATTGATGAGATAACTCTAAATCCTAAAGTCACTCCTTGAGAGATCGACACGTCAACATAACACTAGCTGGACGATCCAAATCAACTCCGCTTATTTTTCTGTTCTTCTTTCTTCCCTCGCATCTCCGGTTTTCACGGGAGAAATGATTTAAGCGACGGTCCTTAATCTATCGTGAATTAACAGCATGTTCTTGATCACAAAAAAATAATAATAACAATTATATATTATTGTGAGGTCCATTTATTCAAGAATTTGTGGCTCGGACGGCACTATTATATTATCAAAACCCTTCTGCAAATTGCCCTCTTCCATTTCAATTGCAGTGACACACTCGGATCTGGGCTTGCGTGAGGCTGGACATGACCTCAACGTTAGGCACGCAATCTCCATCTAGGTTGTGTGATTCTCTCCTCTATCTTCGTGGGACGAAAGGGCTAGGAAAATCCAGGCTTCGGCTGACAGGCAAGGGACGTGACGAAGATCGCAGGGAGGCAATCTCCGGCACAAAGGACCGGGGTGACAGTGCATCGAATCAATGATAAAAAGATTGGGGAGGGAGGGAGAAAATTACAGGATACGTTCGCATTTCGCTTGTATTTTGCTTGAATTCCATTGAAGCATTATGGTCGTTTTAATCCAAAGAGTAAATTTGCCTCCTCTAAATTTAGAGGATCATAATCCTTCGTGTTTTGCTTATAACCCCGCCTTCAATTCCAAGAATTATTTTATGTCCATATACAGATGCGAAGTCTGTCTTCAACTTTGAGCAGTCAGCACCTGTATGATGACAAAGATCCAAAATACGTATTGGTATACGCACACGTAACGAGGAACTGATGGATTGTTTGTCACCTTTCATTGCTTAAGTCGAGAAAAGATCGAAGAAAAAGGAAAAGGAAAAAGGAGAAGACGAAGCGGGGGATTCCCGGTATTTCTTGATCAACGTTCGTAACTCCCGGAAAGAGACAACTGGAGGTTCATGCACAAACTAACCCCCACCATTCTCAACCACTGAAAACTCTCTCAACCCTTTGGTTTCTCCAAATCCTTCAAGTTCCAGAGGTCCCCGTCCCACGCGACGTCGCCGAACAGCGCGTTGAAAGCTTCGTCGCCCATGAACTCCCCGTCCCAGAACGGCGACCACACGGGCCCGAACGACATCGCTTCTTCGTCCGCCACCTCCCACGTCGTCCACCACGGCGGCCACTCCTCCAACCCCTCCATCTTCGCCGCCGCCGCCGCCGCCACCGCCGCGCCTCCTCCTCCTACTCCTCCCGCCACCCCTTCCCCTCTCGTTCCCGCCTTCTCGCCGCCCTCCTCCTCCTTGGCCTCCGCAGCCGCCGCGTCAGCTCCGGCAAATCCCTGAGCTCGAGCGTCTTCTTTATCTGATGACGACGATCTAGCGGGCTTGTTGGGGGCTCCCGCGCCCTTCACTCTTCGCCTCTTCATGGTTCCTGATGATCGATATGCCGCAGCAGGTGTTTTTTTGTTAAATGCTTTGAGAGCAGAGACAAGAAAAACGAGAGATGTCTACGTGAATGGTACGGCACGGAGTATGGGGACGTTGGTGGCTCTACTCATATTTATAACGAGCCAAAGACGAAAGAGAGACCCTCGTTTTGGAACTCGAGACTGCGTGTCATGTGTGGTGCTGATGAACGGAGGAGATATCGTGATTTGTGAGCGTCGGCAAATATTAACAATGCATGTCACGACAAAAGTTGGTGCTTCGAAAATTATGAATTTTACTTCACTTTGGCGATTTGATAACTGCCTCTTGAAAAGCACTATTTGACACAATTCTATTATGCCATTGGTCTCTCCTGATCTTTATTTGATCTCGCTGAAGATTGCAGGTCTAACTCGGCGCCCGACTCCGCTTGACCCGTCGTCGCATAATTTTTAGTGAACGTGATTGAATAGGGACCACCATTTGACGAAATAATCACCTCGAAATTGACCGAAGGACGTACATGATCGACTGAGTAAGTCAATATCTACATGATTACGCTAGTTGGCAAAAGAGGGAAGGTCTACCCACATCCGAACTTCGAACAACGAGCGGGGTCTGAGGTCTAGAATATACTTGTCTTGCCCTTTCGTCGCGATGAAGAGAGGAATTGGTCCTTGCAAGTGGGATTGTGACCCTGTCTTCTAGTGAAAAATCGTGAAGGCTGTTTTGTCTCCACGGCTGGAATTGATGCACGAGGCTACATTCAACTAACGTGGTGGGGGGGATTGAGGGACAGAAAGTCCATGAGCGGAAGAACTAGAATGACCTAATCGGTCGTTAAGGGCGTAAATGATAACTATTATATTTCAGAAATCAATTTCTAGCCGAAAGTAGATTTTTTTATTTCTATTTTATCGTTTCTAAGCTAAAATAAGTGTTTATTAACGACACAAAATTTCTTCCTCTCGAACGGTTGGCGGGCGGGTGGCAGAGGACGGTGGGTGGAGGCAAGCGATGGTGGGGGGACGATGGAGGACGGGTCACAATGTTGGGAGGCAAACAGTGAGTGGTGGAGGACAGTGGGAGGTGACTAAGGGCGAAGGACTACGACGTGAGGCGATCGACGGGCAGCAGGAGGCGGCTGGCTAGTACCGAGGACAAGCGATAAGAAGAATTTTATTTCTTATTTTTGTTCTAAAAATAGAAAAGTAGAAAATTTTTACTTCTCATTTTTGTTCCAAACTTATTTCTGAAATCAAAATTTATTTCAAAAATTGAAAAATGAAATTGCATTATCAAACGGATTTCTATTCCAAGCATGTTTTCGGAAACAGAAAAACAGATAAATAGAATGGTAATCATGTGCGCCCTAACATTTCAGAAGAATTTCATGTGATTGGTGAATGGGGTTACTTAATCCTCATGAGTTATAGCTCATTCACGATGCAATCAATACAGTCTCTTACATTAATGCGATTCGAAAGCCCGTGCTTTTTCACCTCGACGTGAAAATTAGTAGGTTTTCTCACATGTTATCGACATGACTTACCATATCGGGACGTGCGATCCCTGGATTTATCTAATCAATCTCAAAATCCTAAACTTGGTCACATGACTAAGGATCTTGGCAAGTGTTGTGCATCTTATTAGAACGAAGACGAGTTATTTTGTAGATTTGTTCGATTGTGAGGAGGCAAACCCGTTGGAATTCAGAAAGGGTCGGGGGAGCAACGTGCGAGGACCCATTGACGGTGGATGATGCACAAGCATCGTTTAGGGTATTAGGCGTTTGTCGGTCAGACCAATCCCTAGAAATAAAATGTGTTTTGTAGTCGTCGTTTCTGCTGTTTCCTTAGGAAGCGACAAGTTGTCAAGTACTCGTACGACAAACTTTGCTTTCTATTTTTACCGGATAGAACAGACAAACTTCGAGCGGGTAATTTCATGGAGAGATCTCGTAAGACTAGAGTCGCCTATTATCTTGAGGTTAAAGAAATGTTCAAATGGTCTCGAGCTCTATTGGACAAAGGGTCTCGGATTTTGGGTTAGGATTGATTAAGACTTAAATGGAATTTGGGTTTCGGATAAGAGATAGTAGTCCTAAGTGGAGATGGCAATGGGCCGTGATAGGATGGTAATAGGAGATGTTCCCGTGTGTTCGTCTCGGACCTCATGTGGCATGCGCCTTCACTGTCCGCGCCGCCACAATCATCTCTGCTAATTTTAACTTTAACGACTTGTTAGACACTAGTATCGTCCTCGTTTTTTTAAGTTAATGTATGTATATTTTTAGTGCTCTCGTAATTTTGAATAAAATTGTCCTTTGCCTTGTTCACCCTCAATTTAAGTTTCATTTCCATAATCACAAGAGTAGCTTAAAGACCGGGGGAAAAGTTCTAAAAAAGTCCTTAACATATTGTATTGGAACCAATTCAGTCCTAAACTTTTTAAATTGACCAATTTAATCCTGAACTTTTTTATATTGGTATCAATCCAGTCCATCCGGCCAATTTAGGCCGAAAATTGCTGATTTGAACAACAATCGTCCTACGTGGCATAACCAGCACTAAAATGGATAATTTTTTAATTTTAATTTTAATTAAATTTTTCTGAATTTTTTATTACTTCTTCTTCTTTTCATTTTTTCTTTTCTTTCCTTTTCTTTTCCCAAAACTGTGGACTAGCCACCCTCGCCGGCCACAAAGAAGGTCTGGGCGAGGGTGCAGCCACAAGTGAGGGCATCGGGCCCTCGCCTAGATCTAAGCGAGGGCTGCGACCCTTGCTATCGCCTACGCATGTAAGCCCAGTTCATAAGAAGCTTTGGGTCAAGCGAGATCAATGTACATCCCATCCGGTTTAACGGTTCGCATGCATTGCGATGCTATGATTCGCCTATAGTCTAAGATTTTTTTTCTTTACAAAGAGAGGAGCCGCAAAGTTGCGGGCACAAAGAACTAAAGAAGCCAAGGCCGGGCTCCAAAGGCCAGTCGTCCTCTGAACGAAAGGATTGGCCGCTCAAAGAGGCATCGTATTCCTCACAGACACACACGCTCTCTTTCCCCTCTCATTTCGTCTTTCCTTCTTTGGGCTTCTTTTGTTTATGTAGTTATCCTTTGGCTCGACCCAAAGGCCGACTGCACAGTTCGTTATAATCAGAGCTATAGATAGACTGCAGGAGCTTATCGGCATCCACAAAAAAGGAGAAAAATAACTATGATCCTTCGTGCGGACGAGGATGGACTTACATACGATGAACAACCTGACCATGAAAGGATGTCTGCTGTGTCCCTTTTCCCTTTTTTTAGCAAAGTAAAACCCAATCAATTAGTTGTCTGAAGAAGAACGTTAATACCATTACCAGCTAAGTCTCTCAGGAGCAACCAGAATATGGTTAGAGCGGCATGCAGATCTCTCCATGCACATTCACTTCTCTAACAGATGCTTCCACTTTTGGGTGAGGCTTTTGGGTAGCCGAGGCTTGTCCTCGTCGTTTAGGTCTACGAAGTAGAATTAAACAGACATTATTATCCACGGGAGGGTTTTCGGATCGTTTTGTTTCTTGCAGTATTTGTAACGTGATCTTTTTCTCGAGAGAAATTTGCTAAATAGGAATCTACATTCTTTTGACACAAAAAATCTATCCTTCTATCGAAATCGAGAGCAGTGAAGACAATCGGCATGTAATTTGTCTTTCGGGCAAGATGTAAAACTCGGAGGTGTTGTTTGGCAAACCCATGAAGCAATGATTGTCGGAGCATGGTTGTAGGTGAAAAGTTTGTCGAACCCAACTAACTATGGTAAATATTTAAACTGTAAAACGAACGCATGATTAAATATCTAAATACTCCAATAGTAGGCACCTATTCACGAGTTGGTGGTCCTGCTCGTGGTGGTCAGAATTCTGATGTTCGTGACAATTGGATTGATGAGATGGAAGAGTGACCGCAATTAAGCGGTGAGACGACCGTGGTCGTCTTGTCGGGCAACCCAACAACGGACTTGTAAACCGACTTCGGGACACTGGTTGACACAAAGATCACATTTTTTAGCTTCCTATTTATGATTGAATCTGTAAGTGAAACAAGTAGCAGAACCGCATAAACAGAGGTTTGTGAGTGTCTGATAATGGCGGATCTAAACCAAGGCTCAGGGAATGTAACGTGTCCTCATCAATCCGGCGAGCCCACGACAAGTCGGCAAGATGATCTTGCCCACACTAACTGTGCAAAAACCTAAGGGTCCATAGACCTAGTTACGTAAATGCCCCTCAACTAGGTCTCACCCACTAAGTTCTTTACAGTTCCTGTTCTGTGTTTGTCAAGCTCTTACCAACTTAAGCATTGGAAGACCATTCCAAAGTCTTCAACTCGGATGGCCCTTAACTTGCTGATCGTGCGCATAGATTCGGAGATCAAATTCAAAGGTCGGATCCAATTCGCGCCTCAACAACAGTTTTCCCAGTCGGATTTGTATGGAGAAGCCTATCTCCAGGGGTGAAAACCTGTACCTTTTGAGCTATACCGCCTCCTACCTCTGTAGAAAATGCGAAAAGAAAACGCTTTAAAGCGTCTCGTCATCATCTTTGTCACATCAACTTTGTGTTTGTGTCGAAACTTTTCGTTCTGTATCAAATTGTCCTGGGCTTAACCAACCATATAATGTTATAGAGACATGGGCAGATGGGACGTCCCACAGGTTAGATGTGTCTTGTGGGCAACAATGGATTTGCTCGATCAACATCACCCACCCAAACCCAACCCCACAATACCACACTCATCAACAACCAAACTTCCCCACCTTTGAGGCATTGCGACAAAGCATAATGTTCATCGTGCAACGCAACACTAATATGATGCGAGTGGAGGGGCATGCCTTCGCCAGCATACTGATGAAGTGATGATTCAGGCTTCGATTGATTAAAGTATTCGGAGGACCATTTCCCAGTACCTTAGTAGAGGAGGTCAAACAAAAAAAAACGAAAACCCACCAAAAAAAGGACACCCATTTCCTTGCCTCGGATACGCAATTGATGCCATATCTCACGATTCGATAGCATATGAAACATCAGAGTCAACCAGCCAGTTACAAAAGTTTGGCAGTTGAGTTGAGGATGCCCATGCTGTGCGTGGATTCTAAGCAAACATCATCACATCAGGTAACTTTTCCAGATTCACATTCAAAAATCAGGAAAAAAGTGCAGTGAGCCTCAAAAGAAAGCAGATTCCATGTCCATCCCCAGTTCACAAGAAGACAATGGGGAGAGAAAACAGACTCCCAACAAAAAGTAAGATGTAAAATAAAGGATCTGTATTTACACATAAATTACTAACTTTGATTACTCATCTTCAACCTGATTTGTACAACTTCAACCCTCTTTAAGCCGCTCCATGAAACTTCAAAATACTCTGAAAACTCCCATCCATCCTCTTTCGACTCTCTTTACATACAAAATAAACCAAAGAGGATAGACAAACAAAGGGGTAAAAACAATATAAGAGAAAAGGTTGATCTCCCATCTCAGCTCAAGCCCAAGTTTCTCAGTAAACTTTCCAACCAATAGACACCTAGAAGACTCTCCCTCTCAATTATTTTGGTCAACAACTCATTTACTTACAAGACACTTCCCATTCAATTTACATAGGACCCTTTTTAACATATATATACACTAACAAAAAAGGACAATCTTCTTTCATGCTCCCTCGCGATTTCAAAAATCTCTCGAGCTCGTCAAGTTTAGCAGTAAAAACGGATAACTTTAGTGGTGGGCATGTGGTTCGATTCGCGGGTCTCTGCTCTTTCTCTATGCAAGGGCCGGGATACCGCAGTTCCTGCGGTCCCTGTTGAGGCAATCAAATCCCTCAACTCTCACCGCAGGTTTGTGCCCAAAACTCGCACGAACGCAACCTCCTTTCCTCGAGGACGATGATGGAGATAAGGACAGTCCTGAAGGGGCAGGTATCAGCGACATTGGCGAGAACGGGGCAAAGCTATCATCCCCGAACCGATCATCTTTAATTAATGGGTTAGCTACTCTACTCGGCGGCGACCCGCAAAAAAATGGGGGCGACGAGGCCATCTGTGCACCAAATTCTTCCATACCATTGCCACCCTGCAATGTCATCCAAAAGAAAATCAGCATACAAAACGAGATCCCGAACACTAATCGAAGTCTACGGGCAATGAGCAGGTTGCTGGGTTCACAAAAATCCTAAAGCGCGGCTTAATTACTCCATCCAAGTTTTGAATTGGCATATCTTGCCGGTATTCCATGACATTGCATCTTAAAAGAACAAATACCAGAGGCCAAGTACACACTATGGGTGTCTCAATTTTCAGATCCGCAGTTTCAGATCTTAGATCCATTTAATGCGACAAAACTATACTAAAAAGAGATGAACTTGATAAGCTTAAGAGCAGGTTTGAAAAGAGTACCTTTGTCAGGATGATCTCCAAAACCTCAGTCCCTGCTTTCAGATCGCTTAGTTCAGCTTGGCTCCTGCAGATCAAGCGAGCAACAGACCATAAGTACCTTTAAAAACACCAACTACTTATATAAGAACTCAAGCAAACATGAAGAGAGCGAGAGAGTTACCCCAAGTGCCATCTGAAGGGCCTGACTGGGTGGTGCTCATGGATGGTGGCGCTTAATAAATTAAGACGGCGAGGCTTTGGGCAAACCACCGCCTCTCTCCTCATTTCTTCGCGGGACACAAACGCACTTTGCTGGATCGAACAGGGATTCATTCTTGTTCTTCTTGAAAGATAAATATGTGCTCTTTCTGAGTTGATGTTTGTGTGTAGAAAGTTCCTGTCCACAGAAACAGATCGGAGTTAAAAACCTAGAACCCGTCGATTGGGAAAGGGCAAAACAAAACAGAACCTTTGTAAATCACATCAGTTAATTTGGATGGCGTGCAATAGATGCCGGCAGTTTCAAGATCAAGATCTGGTCCGCGAGTAATGTCCAATTAATTACTTAATTTAGCGATAAAGAACTCGAGATAGCATCTTGACTCCGACCCAGAAAAGACAAACAGAAAAAGAACAACCACAACGCTGGAATAATCGACAGGTTCGAATTTTTCCCAAAAAAATTCTCTTAGGAACCGATGGAACCGGCGAAATTAGCCCGATTCCATGGAGGGCCAATCACAAACAAAACGGGGTGACAGCAAATCTACGGGATTTGTGCCTTGCCGGCATGGATCTGGCAACACAGGGTCCCGGAAATGAAGCTAAAACAAGAGAAAAAAAAAACAAAACTTGGTCGCTTTTAAAGATGAATTTCAGGTAGGTGAAGAAAATGAAGGAGCTGCTTGGCATATCCCCCAAATCTCAGCTCAGATAACAAGATCTGCCAATTGAAGAATCCGAACGTACTAATTATCAAGAAGAAACACACAAGATGACCCGTCAAAGCCTCCGAACAACTTAGAGGTAAAAGCTTCTTCCTTTCAAACACAAACCACCCACAAGAGAAAGAGAGAGAGAGAGAGAGAGAGAGAGAGAGTACCTGAGCTAAGAACTGTACAAGGGCTCCCCCAAAGGAGGACTAATTTTTAGGGGGGGAAAAAAGGCGAACGAGAGAAGGGGGAAGGAGTATTAACAAGCAAGAGGGGAAGGGGACGGGGTGGGGGTGTTAGGCAGGAGGTACAAAGAAGGGTCATGTGGGAGAGGCACAGTTCAACTTATAGACGAGGAGGAGGAGGGTGGGCTTGATGGCGAGAGAGAGAGAGAGAGAGAGAGGAGCGAGAAGAAGAAGGAGAAGCAGAAGAGAATCCGCAAGAAAGAAAAATAATATGGTGAGAGAGAGAGAGAGACAGAGAGAGAGAAGCAAAAGCGTTCTCGTGTGATTGGGCAACAGCGATGACAGAGGAGCGAGAGAGAGAGAGAGAAAAGGGGTAGGCCTGCAAATGCGCAAGGCTGCAACGTCTCCGTCTCCGTCTCTGTCTCAGTCCCACTCTCTCTCTCTCTCTCTCTCTCCCCGCAACTAATGAACCGAGCGAGTCGAAGCGAGAAGAAGAAGAGGAAAAAGATCGCGTTTTTTTAAGTTTCTTGTTCCAAGGTCTATTGTAAGCAAGAAGAAGGGAGATTTTTTTATTTCCTTCCTTTCGTTTTTTCTTTTTTTTTTCGTTTTTTTGTTTGTGCCTCTTTTGATTGTTTCACGCGGGCGGTGCCTCACGCGAGAAATGTCATCGGTTTTGGCGACCCACTCCCGTCTCGGGAGGGAAATCATTACTTTTAATCCGGGAGAAAAAAGAAATCGAGGATCGTTTCCCCGGAAAAGAAATATCTTGTGGGCCCGGTGGGGCCCCTCCCCCCGAGCGAGAGCGGATTCACGTTTTCAAAATGGTTAGGTTTTCAGGTTTGAAATTACCAAGGGAGGGAGGAAGGAAAGAGGAACCGGATCCATGATGATGAGGAGATGGGATTGTCCTTCGTTTCCATATGGGGGGTGGGGTGGGGCTTCGAAACTGGATCCGGATCCGATCGGACCCGTGTTTTTTTTTTTCGAACTCGGTCCAATCCGACGTAAGCGCCCAGCTCGGTTGGCTATTGACGGTTCGATTCACCTGGGTTTCGTACCTATTGAATTGGGAATACGTCGGATCTGACCGGTCCTTTGCCGCTCTGGGTAGCGGGTGAAAATCGAATCGGACCATGGTTCGGCTCTCGATTCAACCGATCGAACCGGCCCGTCCGTTCCGAGTTCGGATATGCCGGTTCAAACATAGAATGGACGAGTCAGATCCCGATCGATTTGGAAAATCATACCCGACTTTATCGTGCATGCTCGTTTGTTTCCCAAGAGATATGTTTCAATGCCTATGTCTAATTGACTTTTTTTTTTTTTGCTAAACTACGTCTAATTGACTTGTACCTAGAGATAAGATAAGCGTGCCACCTGGACCATAAATAGATATTATAATTGGAGCAGGCGATTCAATGAGCCGCTCAGACCTAACCGACCAAATGGGCGAGCCATTCCCTTTCTTCCTTGATTTACTCGAGCCCACCGCCTAAGCTCTATCGATTTATATACAATATATTACATTTCTTCAAATCATTAACATGTTTGGATAACGATTTTTAGGCTCGATGCTAAACATGGCCGCTTAGGCTCGTCCATTAATTAGGTTTACCTATGAATATATTTATACCACACACTTTGAATGATTGAGTACTTTACCAAGGGACCGGTAATTAGAGTCGGTGTCAAACTGTGCACCGGTGAAGTGGTCATAGGGCTCGAGAGAAAATTAAAATCGATATCTCATAATGGAATTATTCGGTGATGTTGAAATAGACCTAATCATGGCCCTAGCTACCAAGGCCCACAATCTCCATGAGGGCTCGAAACACAAATCTGGGCAAGCTTCGACAGCGACAATTAGCTATAATAAGACCCGATATGCCCTAAGTGAACCCGACCAAGACCCACTGGCTTAAAAATAAACTATGCTTCTAAGTCGACGAGGGCAACAAATTTAGCCTGATTGGAGTGTCTAACTCAACTCTGAGTTTTTTCATTGATAGCCTCTACCTTAGACCCTCTTAAAAATATTTGCACGCTGACAAAAACATTCGCCTCGATAGGAAAAGACGTGGAATAGTCAGTCCGCGGATGCGATAGGGTTCAAAATTGGTAACAATCAGGGCAAGACTTATCGTTACGTAATGAACTTAGCTTTATGTGTTTTGATAAGCGATGATTTCGCCGTGCGTGGCTGAGTTGAGTATTTGCCACGAGGTGGAAGCAAAGCTCCATTGACTTTTTGTCCTGATCGTGTTGGTTGACTAGACTCAGGCTATGTTTGGAATGGTTTCTTGGTGGGCGGGGGACTAAAGTCAAAGAAAATGTAATTGAAGAAAGTAGGAGGTGAAGGTAAAGAGAGACTACAAGGTCGCGGTAACTCGTTCGACACTCTTTCTTTCGCTCGCTCATCTTCTCTTCCAAATGGAAGGTTTAAAATCTAGCAATTTGGCAAGACGAGACTCGCAGTTGATGGACAGAAATGGTATGTTTTCCTCCATTTGTTATCAGAGGAAATTCAGGCATCTTATTGACCGGTTGTTTTGCAAATTTTACATTTAAGTAGGTATCATACACAACCAATCCATCTAAAATCTCTCTCTCTCTCTCTCTCTCTCTCTCTCTTCTCGCGACGACAACAAGGCGGGCGGAAATGATCGGTGTACGGCTATGGCGCCACAACGATAGGGCTGGCACGGGATCATGATCATGACAAATGCGTGGGCGGCAGAGGGAGGAGAGATAGGGGAGGGTAAGATTAGCGTTTATGTTTGATTTTTGTGTGTGCGTCTATGTTTTAGTTAAGTTTACATTTGGATAATATCAATAGCTGTTATTGAATAATACAAATTTCTCGACAATAAAAATTGATGGAAAACATGGCCCAACATTATACCTAGTGATAATCAACGATAAATTGTAACATTAACAAATATATAATCGTAACTATTTGCTCACCGACAAAAAATTTGGATGGGGTTGGACCTACTTAACCTGTTGGTAGAATAGTCGATTTTTTTTTTTTGCTAGAGGTAGAATAGTCGATTTAAGACATCAACGAAGCAGAAATTGCCCATTGAAGAGCCCGTCACTACAGTGCTACCGGGCATGAGTGAGAAATTTAAGATCGACGATGCACCGAAGCTTAGGACTGCCTTTTGCAAACCAACCAAAGATTTCATGAAATCGAGGATAGGCTTGGAAATCGAACATCTGCATATAAACCAAGTTTTGGACTACACGACCAGCTACACATTTCGTGTACACCATCTGGTTGTAAATTCATCATCGGAACGATAATAGATAACAATTTAGGGAAACTTTAATGAATTCTAGGCGAATGGGAAATTGATCAAAATTGTCAAAACGGAACATTTTTCTTTTTTCTCTCAAGCGTTGCTATTTCCAGTATATCGCAATAAAATAATACGTTGTCAAAGACATTCGTGTTGTGAAAACATCGGACTTTCCGCAATTTTACATCCGAGCAAACTGGGTGGCGCTGCTGGAAAGGGCACTCTTCCTCTCGCAAAAGGTTGGGTGTTCGAATCCCGGGTGCGCGGGGTAGGCTTGCTTAGGTGCGCGTGTGTGGTGGCAGCGCGTGTCGCCCTGGGGTTTACTCCCATTTGTCGGCCGTGCGGGGTTCCCAGGTTACCAAAAAAAAAAAAAAAACAATAATATCTCTCAGCCGCAAAGGAAAGCACCAACATAATCGCAAAGTTTCACAAAAGTGACATAATAATAATGTCGGACAAGATTTTTGCTTAAATGGAAAGGAAAGAAATACAAAGGCTAAAAATAAAATAAAATAAAAGAGAGAGAGATCGCGATAAGATGCGTGACGGTGGAGGTGACTAGGATGCTCCCTCTCTCTCTCTCTCTCGGGTATTTTCAGCCGTCCATCACCTTATTTTTTTTCTAGCGCTTTATCTCCACTGCCTTTTTTGCAGGCCTCATATTTTGATTTTTTTTTTTCTCTTTCCATTTTTGTCCATTTTTTTATTTATTTACCAGCAAAATTGGGAAAAACAAATAAAATCAGATTAATTGCGGGCGACATTTAATTATCACGTGGGCCCGTGGCAAGAGGAGCAGCCCCGCGGGGAACAGAGAGACCACGACGTCGTCTTCTTCCCGTTCGCTGTCAGGCCCCCACTCCCGTCCCGTTCTGGGGAATCGCGGTACGGAATTGGCAGTGGCCACGTCGTCCGCCACCAGTTGCTCGACACGTGGCCCCTCCCGTCCCTAACCTAAGATTAAAATAAAATCTGCCTCCTCCATTTTATAAAAAAAAAAAGAAAGAGAAAAACTTGAATTTTCGGAGTAGGGAATAAAACAGAGAAAAAGAAGAGAAGGGGGGAAAGATCGGGCGGTTACTTTGTCAAATCTGGTCCCGTTTGTAATTTGTCCCCGCGACCCCATTGCTTGTTGTTGGCCTGGTACAAGTTCGAGATGCTTTTAGAGAGTTTTTGGATCTGGTTCGACATGGACCGCGTCGATGGCAATTGTTCGCGTGGTTCAGAGATCGTGACGACATGCGATTCGCCGGAGCCCTCGAAGAGGTTCGAAAGTGAAAAGTTGCTGCGTTGCATGGCCATGGCCCGTGGTCTCTAGGATTAACGCTCACTGTTTAGAACCGGAGTTTTTTTATCATCTTTCGTGGTCCTTGAAAGTAAAGGATTCACCTTAACACGGGCAGAATGCCTCGAGGGCATCTTATCTCTCCCGTCATTTTGTTTTTCCCGTTATCACGTGAGATGCTTTACACAACGTGCTTAAGCACCACAAAGAATCGAATAATCTCAATAGTTCAGTGCTAGACTATCAATTTGAATGATGCTTAGGATGAAAGATAATTTCGTATATTAAATGCACGACTATGATGAAACGAGTCAAAGGGAGGTAATGTATTTCAAATACCGAAAAGTGATTGAAACGTGCCATTGAACTCCCATCACGTTAGAGGCCATATGAAACGATGCATGTGGTCCGCACCTTGGTTGGTTCGATGCTAATCGAACATGATCCGACAATCAACATTTGGTACTGTCACTAGGCCGGCCTTGTATGTATACCACTCGATGCACTCGCAAGTATTAGTCATTTTTCCACTTCTAGCACCTGCACATTTGCGAATCAAGGATTGCCCGAGTACTCTTTATCCTTTTCCCTATCGTTCACTTATATTCTGGCGAGCTAGAGATTACTGCATCGCTGCAGACCAGATGGACATAGTTTACATGGCGCGTGAATTATGCAATATCTTTAGGCAGCTACACTCCCAGAAATAGGAACTATATCAAACTCGAGGGTAGTATAGTCTCATTTACCATTCGACAAGCTTGCCCACGGTTTGAGGGTTCATAAATTACCAACGTCAGTGGAGCACAGACGGGAGACACAATACCATCAATCTAGTCGTAGTCTCCATGTCGGGAATTGATGCCCAATTTTGTGCCCAGAAGCTGGTAATTCCCCCTCTCTCCAAGTTATTTCCAGAGCAAAAATGATCAAAGAAGGTAAGGTACCGGATTTAGGGTCACGATCTTGATGTACATGGAACTAGACATAGGAAAGAAGCTGGGAGTTTCATCAGACATCATCCGCTACAGAGAGAATCATCAAACATCTGCATCCAGACTTGCTAGAATTTAATAGTAAAATTTAAACGAATCTACAGGAACAAAAGCTTAATTAGCACCTTTCTAGTGCTGAACTAAACTAATGGGAATGAATCAGGGATACTGTAAGAGACGCAACTTAAACATAAGAGCTAGAAGAGCAACTAGACACAGAGGAGAGAGGGGCCAAAAAATGAACACCTCGAAACTTTGAAATGGCTCACGAAGAAGGTTCTGATGCGGCAGATGCAGCCTTTTTCTTGGCAAAGTATTCTTCGGCACGTGCCAAGTTCTTGGCAACAGAAGGCTTAACCCACTTCTTTCGGCCAGGCAAGACAGTGACGGAACAGCCAGCAGCCTCGAGCTTCTCTTTCGCTGCCGCTGAAAAGGCACGGGCCTTTACATTTAACTTGACACTTAGTTCCCCGTCTCCTAAAATCTGAAAGTGTGGTAACAACCAAACAGTTCACAACAGTTCGAGAAAACTTACAAGAAGACAAGCTCCACTTGTTGCTGCCCTAAAAATAGGGAAATAAAGGACTTTCTTACCATTCTTCTACAAAGCTAGAAGAACACAAGCATTACGTGATAAGCGCATATTATGATTAGAGAAGGCAATATTAAATGGATTCAACTTGCAAGCACTGACGACGATGATTAATCCACTTATATGCTTATGTTGGAAAAACGGGGAATACAAGTTCCATTAAGCAGATATAGGGAGCAAGCATATGCTTCTGAATGAAATCTAGAAGATGGAGACATCATTGACAAAATCTTGAGGCCTAAGTGCTACAAAATGACCCTTAAAAGGCCCCCACTAAGGGTAGAAGTGCTGCTCTAAAGGGGAAAAAGAAAAAGGTGATGCACCAAAGAAGAGCAGGGACAACCTTTATATGACTGTGGCAACACTTTAACCATACCCAGGCATGTTCATACCTTCAAAGGGAGTTTCCTTTCTCTTCCAGATGGGTTAATCAGACCCTTACTCTTTAAAGTCTCTAGAGACACCTCATCTCCTTCTTGAAATCCAGCTGCTTCAATGTGCTTTAGATTGACAGGAACATACTTAGGTAATCCCGCATGCATGCCTTGCCAGTAAAACAAAGAAACAAAAGGTCTCAGCAATTACATTGTATGAAGTATAATTAGGCACATGAGACGTAGAGACATTTTTGCCCACACAAAGCAAAGATCTTCTCTTCTAAAAAACCTGTGCCACTAGAATTTTCAACTGACGGAACAAACAGAAGGCTGAACAGCAAAACAAGAGAACTGGTATACCACCATGTGCCTACACCTATATTTACACCACTCATTCCAATTTGTAGGTAAACTAAAAATTTCAGGGGAGATATGACTGCTGGCCCCTTGACATTTCCCACCATCTTTTGTTTATTGGTCATTGGTTCTTAAAGCTGTAGTTATTGCATATCAAGGATTCTCCCAAATGATGTACCACAATTAATATACATATAATGGCATCTTGTATGAATAAATTCATTCTGGTAACTCAGAAGTCTTGTATTCTAGATTGCCCTTACTCTGGATGACTCTTACTTAACTATTTCTATTAGGCGTGTCCATGAAATATTAGTGGTGCCAAGATGAAAGAGAGCAAGCAAGCATGGCTCCTTGACAATGATGGGACACCCACAAATCACATTAGTGTTACATAAAAGCACTCATTACAGAAACCACAAGATTTGATTTAAAAGAGTGAACAATGTACCCTGTAAGGGTGGAAACAAGATTCGTTGATCATTCTCAAGATATACTTAAAAAGATAAATACTTGCTCAAAAACAGACGTTAACTATATGACATGCGAGTGTAAAACACTATCAAGAAGACTTGCTGTTGTCCAACTTCTCGAGGATTTAGTATGCCTTGCCAATATCCTTGCTTCCATCAGAAATTTAACCAACAGGATATTTAAGCATGATCTGTCCCAAAATCACATGCACACCACTTAGGGTGGCATCATATTTTGCTTTTGGTAACTACCAACTAAAGTAGAAATAAAATGGAGACATTTGGTTAGAAATAGGGTCAAGATAACCCATGACTAGGCCAAACCATCAATGAAAAACTTCTGAATGAGAGTGATCGAACGTGACGAACTACCTTGGCTAGACTGCAATATCCAGGAAAAGAGGATCTGAAAGCTTTCTTTTATGGAGTTGTGTGAAGTCATCTCAACGTTCCATGTCTGATTGCTGATTAAATGCAGCATGATCACAAACCTTAATGTGACAGGCAGCTTAAAATGACCAGAGACTAGTCCTTGTTGCAATAGATTTAATTTTTCTTTCTGCTTGCAGCTTTGTAGTAGAGCACTTTACCATGAAGTCTGTAATAGATAAACTATAAAGTAGCATGGGCAGTGTCGAAACAGTCAAAATCACGGTAAACTAGTCAGCTCAACCAGCTTCAGCTAGAAATGACTGGGACTCGGAATATACACATGGTAAAGCCCTTCTTGTCGAACCTATATCTCAAGGTGCAAAACTGAAAAATCCCAATGATCTCCACTACCCCCAATTTATTCGTTTTAACATAACTACTAAAAATTGCATAACTACAGACCAAAAAAAAAAAAAACAATTGCATAACTGAGTAGCATGGACATGGAAAAAACAATTGCTTTCTAAGCATATCTAAATAAAAAAGATGAAAGAGCCTTTTCTTTTTCTGTAGACCAAGCTAGAGAAAGAACAATTTACTAGAGATAATGCTTAAAACATGCATTTTTAACAATTCTACACCAATTCACAAGTTTGCTAGATCTGCACCAAAGCCAAGAGAGCAAAACGGAAAAAAGGTCCTAAAGATTAAACCCCCGATATCACAGAATCATTTCTTCAAACAACTTCCAGACACTCATGGTCCCCAACTTTTTGCATGATCCTTGATCATGACATCCACCACCCACTACATTAACGTTATATCAACAAACCTCAACATGTGCCCATCCGACAAAGAAACATCATTCCATCCCAAAATCGGACAAATACCGAGATATCTAAATCGCGACCGAACAAGGCAACAAGAAACAGGCACGGTTCATTACCTCCCGCAATGCCGCGCAATTTAGGGAGACGCCGGTAGAGCGGCATTTGACCACCCTCAAAGCCCTTCATGACGCCCGGTCCCGACCGGGACTTCTGACCCCTCATCCCGAACCCGCAGCTCGCTCCTTGACCCGCCGAGATACCCCTCCCCTTCCTCTTGGCCTTCTTCCTGGACCCAGGCTGGGGTCCCAAGTTGTCCAGCCTGAACCGGACGGGGTCGGAGGACGACGGCGCCGCGGCCGGCGGGGGAGACGCCTTGCCACTGATGACGAGCGGGGGCTTTTGCTGCTGTCCCCTCTTCAGCTGAAGCTTCGGAGGTGGGAACAAACAGGGTCTCGCTCTCAAGCTGCTGGGGTCGCCCTGCGAGGTGAAAGATTGAGGAGTTTGCTTCCAACAGTGAGAAGAGGGTCATCGTGCCCGAGAGAGAAGAGAGAGAGCGTACCTTGAATGAGGAAGAGGGATGACTGGAGACGAGGGCGAGCCTCGTAAAGGAAGTCGAAGGAAGAGACAGAAGAGACGCCATGGGCGATTGTGAGCTGGAGATGGGGGGTGTTGATACTCGCTCTGCTATCAGAACATGTCCTTCTAACGGATAAGATGCAGAGCGAGAGCGAGAAAGTGTGAGAGAGGAAACGAAAAAGAAATGGAAAATGACATAAACAGTCTTAAACTTTGACCTAATATGTAATTTAATTTATAAATTTTTAATTATTTAATATAATTTCTAAACTTTAATTTAATGTATGATATAGTTCCTGAACTATAAAGATGTGCTCTTTCTGAGTTGATGTTTGCTGGATCGAACAGGGATTCATTCTTGTTCTTCTTGAAAGATAAATATGTGCTCTCTCTGAGTTGATGTTTGTGTGTAGAAAGTTCCAGTCCACAGAAACAGATCGGAGTTAAAAACCTAGAACCCGTCGATTGGGAAAGGGCAAAACAAAACAGAACCTTTGTAAATCACATCAGTTAATTTGGATGGCGTGCAATAGATGCCGGCAGTTTCAAGATCAAGATCTGGTCCGCGAGTTATGTCCAATTAATTACTTAATTTCGCGATAAAGAACTCGAGAGAGCATCTTGACTCCGACCCAGAAAAGACAGACAGAACAAGAACAACCACAACGCCGGAATAATCGACAGGTTCGAATTTTTCCCCAAAAAATTCTCTTAGGAACCGATGGAACCGGCGAAATTAGCCCGATTCCATGGAGGGCCCATCACAAACAAAACGGGGCGAGAGCAAATCTACGGGATTTGTGCCTTGCCGGCATGGATCTGGCAACATAGGGTCCCGGAAATGAAGCTAAAACAAGAAAAAAAAAAAAAACAAAACTTGGTCGCTTTTAAAGATGAATTTCAGGCAGGTGAAGAAAATGAAGGAGCCGCTTCGCATATCCCCCCAAATCTCAGCTCAGATATCAAGATCTGCCAATTGAAGAATCCGAACGTACTAATTATCAAGAAGAAACACACAAGACGACCCGTCAAAGCCCCCAAACACCTTAGAAGCAAAAGCTTCTTCCTTTCAAACACAAACCACCCGCAAGAGAAAGAGAGGGAGGGAGAGAAAGAGAGAGAGAGAGAGAGAGTACCTGAGCTAAGAACTGTACAAGGGCACCCCCAAAGGAGGACTAATTTTTAGGGGGGGAAGGCGAAAGAGAGAAGGGGGAAGGAGTCTTAACAGGCAAGAGGGGATGGGGCGAGGGGGGGGTTAGGCAGGAGGCACAAAGAAGGGGTCATGTAGGAGAGGCACGGTTCAACTTATAGACGAGGAGGAGGAGGGTGGGTTTGATGGCGAGACAGAGAGAGAGAGGAGCGAGAAGAAGAAGAAGAACAAGAGAATCCGCAAGAAAGAAAAATAATATGGAGAGAGAGAGAGAGAAGCAAAAGCGTTCTCGTGTGATTGGGCAACAGCGATGACAGAGGAGAGAGAGAAAAGGGGAAGGCCCGTAAATGCAAGGCTGCAACGTCTCCGTCTCCGTCTCCGTCTCCGTCCCACTCTCTCTCTCTCCCTGCAACTAACGTGAGTTTGGTAACGTTTCTATTTTTGAAAATAATTTTTTTTAAAATAATTTTTTCTATTTTTATTTCTTAGAAGAGTTTCTGAGCAAAATAATACGTTTGGTAACTGCACAAAATTTCTATTCCTGAAATAGAAAAAGAACAGAAATGCATTTGGTAATTACACAAAATTTCTATTCTCAATTTTTTGCATTCAAATCTATATCTTTTATTTAACTATAAGTACAAATTATAAGTGAAAAAAATCAATAAGCATGGTTTATTAATTTGATATGACACTCATTCATTTGGGATCATCATATTGCCCCCGACATACCTTTCTCTTGTGGCTTATCTCTCTCAACCGGCTGCCTTCCTAGGTACTCCTCCTACAAATCCGCAGGATTGACACCGCCTTGTGCACTTTCTGTGGTGATAGACCAGATTCGATCAACCACCTCTTCTTTGAGTGCACTTCTACTTCTAGGCTGGCTTCTTTCTGGGCAACTAAATGCAACCTTCCATGGCGCAACCGTCCTTGGCAAGAGCATATTAGGTGGGCAATGAAAGTTTGTGGTGGATCTTCCTTTGCTCACCGCCTCTCTAGATTTTCTTTGGTGCATTATGTCATGTCATTTGGACTGAAAGGAACAACGCCATCTTCAGAAACAAGAGTGTATATATCCCGGGTATGTGCTTGCACCTAGTCAAAGTCGTGAAAGATAAAGCCATATCCATTGGGGGAGTTGAGGATACTCCTAGGAACCGGCAATTACAAAGGAAGTGGGGGGTCTTCCACCTTCAATCTTCGAACTGAACCAGATGGCCTCTTAATTCGGTGTATTAAGTCGCCTTGTATTTAGTTGGTCTCTCTCTGGCTTGTTGTATAGTTCTTGCTGAACCAACGTGGACCCTGTTCGGACATTTCTGTGTCCTAATCGGGTCAAGGGTTGGCTTTGGCGCTATATTGTATATGGTGTTTTGAAAAGTAATACATATTCTTACCTTTACAAAAAAAAAAAACATGAAACGCTTTTTATCATAATCTAAATCTATTTAAAACAATAATCTTCCGTTGGGCCGATTACTGCGTAAATAGTTTAGATCCGTAAAAATAAATAAATAAATGAAATTATTTGACATCATAGAGTCATCCTTGAAAGGTTTAACATAATCCAATCATCAAATGAATATAAGCAAGTTTTTGATAAAATAATCACATACGATGCCAACATATCCACGCCATTAACAGTATTCGCTTTCCAAATACATGTGTGCCGAATAAAAGAGAAGGGATAACACAAAATAGGCCATTCAATTATCAGATCAGGGAACGACAACCAGAATTTACGACAGTGTCTATTGATCTCAGACGTTTTGTTAATACAAACTCAAAAAACATCCGAATCAAATACATTATTTGCATAAGATATTTGAAAAAATTGTTTATCATCATATGTTTATTCCATAATCAATGAAATACTATGAATCAATCATAAAAGGAGCCGAAAGATCATAATAAACCTTATAACCATGTTCATGCGTTGAATAACTAAAGCTCTGATACCACATGTTAGATTAATAGGATTTTTCAATCACATGAATATGAAATCAAATTGGTAAATATAAGATACCCGAATCAAATGAAGCCATTATTGATTCAATGAGAAAGAACTTGTGTCCATGGGTATGAATCTTCACCACTTTCCTCTATAATGGTTGCGATGGGTGTCTATTTTTCTTTTAACAATTTAGTAGAGAATAGCGGAAGCGTGATAATTAAATGCATTCATTCTCCACCAAATAGAGACCTTGTATAGAGGGAGTGATGACCAACCCTAGTGCTACCAAATCTCAACCGTCCATCAAGGTTTAAGATATGGCTAATTGGATGTCACAAATATAAAGCCCATAATATATTTAATTAAATTGGGCTTGTGTCAAATGCTAAATAATAGACCCGATAAGCCACATAAATGGGTTGGACCTCGTCAAGTCCAACATGCCCCTCGGGAAAATCGGTGAACTCAGGTGTGTGTCGAAGCTGTGGAAGTCCTACCTCAACGGGCCGCTCTTCGCTAGAAAATTTGTAGCTCGGTATGGCCCCACCTCTCTCATCTCTTTCAACGGCCTCTTTGAGCTGGACTGCCTCTTTCTTCCGAAACACCTCTTTGGTCTGGACGGTGAGCTTGATCCGAACTTTGACCTTGAGCTATTGGACAGCGCCTCCACCACTAGGTTCTACCTTTTGTACCATAAACTCGGCTATGCCGAATTTCTGCACATACCTCCTAGCTTGTACAAGGAGGATCAACGTCTACTGAGCATAGAGGCTGCTTCGACGAGGGCCAAGTCACCTGGCTATGGAACCCTATAACCACGCTTCTCAAGAAACTCCCCACTACTCACCCCGATTTCTCCCTACTTTGGGAGGATTGACCCTAAATGGTTCCGCACGCACAACGCCTTGGGCTACGATCCGAACACCAAGAGCATGTGATATTGAAGACCTGGGTTCACATCAGCCCCAAAGATAGGGAGGACCGGCACTGCGTGGGGATGGAGCTCATAGAGCTGGGGGGACACGTGGTGCTGTTGGAGCTGAGGACAGGCGAAAATGGGAATGAGGTGGCTATATCCCTGTATATTCGGTAGCCACATGCGGGGGAAACTGGATAGTGCGCTGGATCCAGGTGACGGACAACATGTACCGCACGGGGCTTATGGGGAGCATCCCTGACCGAGAACTTGTTATTGTTCCGTATATTCAAGAAGACGGAGCTCGAGAGCTGCTGTATGAGAACTTATTATTGTTCCGTATATTCAAGAAAATAGAGTTTGAGAGCTGCTGTATGACGTAGAAAATAGTGTTCGAGAGCTGCTGTATGACGTGGAGGAGGAGCATTCAAGGGAGGTGATTATCCAAGTCCTGTATCGCCCAGATACTTTGTCTGTCTCCCATGCCCCTATCCATTATCTACCTACCACTCTCTGGGTTTGTGTACGAGGTTTTTTCTTTTCTTTTTCTTTCGTATTATCCAACCGCACTTAGTAGCAGCCAGTTTTGTGACTATTCACTATGAGCCACTAAATATATCTTTTTTGCTCTGTTATGATGTTTGTTATGTGTTACGATTGCTCTATTCACTTTGAGTCACTGAACATATATCTCTTTTGCTCTATTAGTTGCTCTGTTATGTGTTAATTTTATGTTATGTGCGGTGGCGAATTCTGTGGGATTGAATATGAGCAGATGGTGAAGAAGGATTAAATACGAGTGTCACGGGTTGATCGATCTAGCATTTCCTAACCCGTGTGGCCTTAGGAATTTCTTTCCAAGTGAGCCTTCCCACATTCACTCAAAGCTCTGGATTGTATTTTACTTAAGAATGAGATGTGTACAAATGAGGGGGAGGAGACCCATTTATATACAAATACAAGGCTGACCGTATCCGTAGATCTCTCCGCAAACTAACGATGGAGATTGCAGCTCCCTATCACCCAATCAAAGGCCACCAATCTATCGGCCAATCAAAGGCCACATTCCTATTGGCAATAAAATTACAAGGATGAGGTACAATTACAAAAATGCCCGCTCTAGGAGTATTCTAGAATACATTAAGAAACCTTAGCCTATTAATTTGTTTAATATCATTACTGAACTTTAGCCTATTATTCAATGTGATTTCTAAACTTTTAATTTGTTCAATGTGAACTCTAGATTTTTGGTACATGTTTAATATAGTCCTTAAACTATATGAAAATGTTTAATGTAATCCCTGAATTTGAATTAATGGAAGGAATATATTGAATTTTTTCATTTAGTTCAGGGATTAAATAGAACATGTACAAAAAGTTTAGGTTTAGACCCAATTAATTTACTATGTGTTCAAACAAAATTTCCAATTCCATGCCCCCACGGACAACCCCACAATACCAATGTTCTCTCCCCCGCCCCTGCCCCCCAACGATAAAAATTTCCAATTCCAATGCCCATGTATCATAACTCGCCATTTCTTTACCAAAGTGTGATTACTAGACCGTGACCCGCAATGCGCCGCGTCGACATTAAAAAGCAAATTAAGAATAAATTTTGCAACTAATGAAGTGAAGTTGATATGAAATGTACGGATAGATCAATAGACATGTGATTCCATCGTACAAATTATTATTATTCGCGAAGCATTATCTCAGGCACGCTTGTTTCGTATGAAAGTTGATATTAGAAGAGAACCATGTCGTATTGAGTTTCCCGGGCTCGGTGTCAATATGACATTGAGCTATGTGGAATGAAACAAGCTCCCGCCTCGAGTTGCATTTGAAATCCTCGGAGTTGATGACAATTCAAGACACTGAATCGATCCCGACTTGGCTGGGGCTTGTGCATGCAAAGGCAATGCTCCCCCTCGCACATTTCTATTATAACCCCACGTTCGCTCTCTCCTTCCTCTCCCTCTAACATAAAAACCAACAACGATGCAAAGGATGAAAGCGCACTCTTACAAAGCATTCCTCTAGTAATTTTCTTTCAACCATCTCTTATCCTTGTTTTCTGCTTTATGATGTACTGCTGTTTCTGCTTCCCACCCTTCCTCTGTTAGTCTTTGTTTTTAGTATCTTAGAGCGAGGTGTTCATTTCCCGCTTCTTTTTGCAGGCTCCGATGATCGGAGGAGGACACGCCATCTGGAAAATTGACGAACTCTTCAGTGACATCCTTCTGAGAGCGTCCTGTTAGATTAATAGGATTTTTCAATCACATGAACATGAGATCAAATTGATAAATATAACATACCCGAATAAAAAGAAGCCATTATTGGGTAACGGCCAAGTTTTCCAACAACATACGCTATGTTTGGGCGAGTACATCCTTGAGCGTACATAAAACTCCCTACAGCAGATGCATAGGGAACATGCTCCATTTGTCCAAGCTCCAGTTGATTTTTAGGGATAGACATAGCCATAACGTGAGTAGTCG